CTTTAAATCAAAACCCTTACCAATTAAATGTCGGGTGGTGGCGGATTTAACGACACATTTATATATTTACGCGATCTAACACCCACAAACATTTACCTGTGTTGTGAAAGAGCTAATATAGCATCTTCATCGGATTCTTCGAGGATGAACTCGTTTTGATTCTATCTCGATTAGAAGTCGGCGACCTGCAGCTCCGAATCCGCCTGCTGTGCGACGTTCCGGGTCGAGGGCCACTACCGTCTCGTGCTCACCGCCGTTGCTTTGCGCCCTCTTGAAACAGTGAGAGGGGTTACATATATATTTATCTTTTACCGAATTAAAAAAAAACAATAGCTCTTCTTGTTATTGTGGTCGCAACGAGCCCCTGATGTCCGTAGTAAACAAGAGGCTGGTAATCCTAGAGGCCTTTGTTCATGATTGTAAAGAGCCGTAAAATAAATCAAAAGTATGATGAATGTATTACCATATTGAACGCATCGTGTACCTGTCAACCCCTATCATTGCCAATTTATTCCAGACCAATTCAGACCTTATTGGTCACCCCGTGCCCCTTATAAATCTGAACGTTCATTCTACAAAGTCCCATCACAAGGCAGAAACACAAATAGATTTTTAAAAAAATGTGCCCGTATTGAAACGGCTATACGCCGTATGGACCTGAAATCTCAATTTCCATGTACAAGAACACGGCGGAAACCGTATGGGTTGACAGGTATGGCAAGGCATTAATTACGAAACAAGCATTTAAATATTGGGCGGTATCATCTGAACTGAATTAGGGGAAACTTATTGCGAAACAAAATGTGCCCTCTTCATCGCGAGTCTCCCAACACTGCGACGTTGGTAAATGGCTGCGGCTGCTGCGGCCGATGCCGTGGCGCCGAGGTGAGCCACATTCATCCACAATTACCGTGATCCTGAGCCCCTAATTGCTCGAACCCCAAAGCAGCGCTGTGGGGATGGCTGCTCGGGTCCGCCACTCCCTGCGCCAGGGGTCGGCACGACACGACGGGGACATATCGCGCGCTCTCCCTGCCCGCTGGCACGCGCTCTCGCTCGGGGTCTCGCCACCACAATTCCTCGACGCAAACTCAACACGCGTTGATTAAAGGTGGCTCAGATAAATAAAACCACGTCCAGTGCTCGGCACTCAATGGATTTGCGCTGTCACTCGATCAAGCGCGGGGCTAACTCGGCGCCACCACGGCGGTCGGAGCGGTTTTAAAACCGTGCAAAGCACGCGGGGACTGAATGTTCACGCGCTCTTTGGTTACGGGCGCAGATAATGCAACGCACACAACTCCGCAGACCGCCTTTTGAACGAGGCGCGTTCAGGAGGAAGGAGGCCCCGTCTCGGTCGCCATCGGATTGCGCGCCTCGCCGCCGCCCCGTACCTGCCGCGTGTTGTATTTGTGCAGCACAATGCCGAGCGCAAAGAACCAAGAGGGGGGGGGGGGGGGGGGGGGGGGGAAAACCACTCTCCCTCGGCCCGCAATCACGGCGCCCCCCCCCCCGCCCGCCGTGCCAGCGTGCTGGCCCCCAGGTGAAGCTTTGAAGTGCGGGCAATTTACCGCCCTCCCAAACCCAACCACCCAGCCACACACCCATCCACTCACCCACTCACCATCCACCCCCCACCCCGTCATCCACAACTACTGAACCACTCGCGAACCGCCCGCCGTCTGCAACCACGAGCGTTCACCAATCACCCACCAACAATCGACCACTCAACACTTAACCATCAGCCACCGACCATCTACAATATTCTCTTCTTGCGTATGACTTCCATATGTTCGGGAGTTAAATGCCAATTTCGAGGTCTGCTAGCCGCGAGGGGGCTTCAGGAGAGAGTTCGTGTCATTATGCTATTCCTCATTGACCACTCACAAACAACAATAACTCACCACCCTCAACTAACTACTCATCAAAATCACCAACCAAACATTAACTACCCACCCGCCCAGTTTAACACGGAGGCTTTCACGACCAATACTATTCATGTTTTTTTTAGATCTGTAAATATACCCACCCACCAACCACCACCACCATTCAAAACTACAAATCATCCACATAGCTACCCACCACTGATTACAGCCAACCATTACTCACCCTCCAATCGTAAACCTGTCGGTTACAGACAACGGGTCACCGACCACCAACGCTGAACCCAAAGTGACGAAGGCTCGTGGTGTATCGCGTCTGTTGGGATCCGCACGGCGCCAGTGAGGTCGCACAAAATCCCATATCTGACATCACGGATCAAAATAAAGTGAAAGAATTTGAGACTGCTGTCTTGCGAGTCAAACGTAGTCTTAAGACACACCGGAACAACACGCGCAAAAATGTAAGCTCAGCATGTACTCTGTAGTAGAAAAAAAGACAGTCAACACGTTTTTATCGTGAAAACTTTATCAAAATTTAAACATAAATAAAAGTTTAATTACGAGCACACGCATTGGTTTTTTTTTCACACACACGCAACAAACAAACTGTAAACCGTTGTGAGCAAAACACAGCAACGATCACTCTTCTTCGAAACAAAAAAGAATGTAGACCAAGAGGTGGCCAGTGTGTAGAACCCTTTGTATTGTGGTTCTACGCTTCAGCCTGTATATGACATATCACTTGCATAGATCATGGACATTGCTTTTAAAACAGCCGTCGCAGGCGAAGTTCGGTAACCAATGTGAGCCAATGGAATGTTTGTACGCTTGCGGGTGAAGCCAGTGGCGTATTGTGGTTGGCATGAGCCCTGGAGCAAGCAATGTAAGGGGGCCCCTTGTCTGGAGCCCAGGCTCCTTCGGCCCATGGGTTGTGGTGCATGTACACCGCCTGCACACTCAATAGCTACCTTGCTGGGTGAAATCATATAGCCTTCAAGTACCCCCCTGTGTTAGATTGCCTTGCACAGAATGGACCCTGTGCTAAGACTGACTTGCACAAGCAATGGCTTAAGAGAAAACAATAGCAGAGCTGATTTCATGCATCGGCAGAAATACATTTTTCTCCAAAAGCGATCAAACTCTTTCCAATCGATCAGACCGATTAACTGTCAATAATCGACAAAACCCACCTCTGCCAATGCCTAAATTAGGATCAGTGCTTGAATATTATTGTGTAAAGCTATTAGAAGTGTTTTGTGTTAAGGCTGAGGAATGTAGAACATGTCAGCATTGCCAGGAGTAATCATTCACATGTACAAAATTCACGAAGTAATATGTGTTTTGCTTTTAGTGTTATAAAAGAGGGATTATACACAGCCTCCTTATTCCCACACGGCACCGTGTGTGTTCAAACAACCTCCCGGCAAACCCAATCCTGGAGCAACAACAGCACACAGAACACTCCATTCAAAACACTCACAGCCACGTGTGACTGATCAATCAGTTGGTTTTCCTGAGAAATGGGAGAGGCAGCCGCAAGCGGCAGCGGCGCACCGTAATCCGCCACAGCTGTTCATATAACCCACGACCCCGCCATGGAATTTCACAGCGACGAGGTTCTCAATGATGCTGCCAAATACAGCTGATGACGACCGCCATGGTATTTCACAGCGACGAGGTTTTCAATGATGCTGCCAAATACAGCTGATGACGACCGCCATGGAATTTCACAGCGACGAGGTTTTCAATGATGCTGCCAAATGCAGTTGATGACGGCGAAGAGGTAAACCTTGCTAACGAACTGCATTAATGACTGGCGCAACGTACAACAATGGCTAACGTGGGATTCAGGGTTGGAGTGGTGGCGCAGTGGTCAGCACACTGTGCTACGAGCCTTCCAACCCGAGCTAAGAGTTCTAAATAATATCAGATCTGGTCGTAACTACCCATTCCCACTCAACACCAAGTGATGAAGTATTGTGAGGCAGGACTAAATGACCAGCACAGCCTGGAGAGGGGAGGTGAGGCCTTTATCTAGAAACTGACTGACAAAGAACGGTAATTTAATATTAATCAATGTTGCATTCAAACGACTATACCCAACCTGGTCCTGTGAAATAATGCCGTGCAGCGAACGGGGGTCTGAGAAGGGAGCTCCAGGTAGAAAGCTTTTGTTGGCTACCCCCCCTACGAGCAGGGCTGGCATGTGTTCCTTATTTCACAGAATTTTCATTATTACGTGGCAATTTTAAATGCTTATCGGCAATGTAGCTTTGCAAAAAAAAATTCGTAAAACAGCATTAGGCTAAGTCGCCGCATGGCAGATCAACGTTTCAAATTGACAAGCAATAATGCAAGACTTAAAAAATATAAAGAAACGGCACGAAACCAGGGCACAAACCTTTGGTCTCGCAATAATCTCTTAAATGCATCAAGACTGCTGCTGCGTGTGAAAGAACAGTATGCGGTGTGGACTTCAACTGCAATTACATGTTTGCCAATGTGATATAGCAAATAATGTGGTCTAACGCCAGTCACCATTAGTGCACCGGTTAAACTACTATATCCTGAAAAATGCGGCACCAAATGCCAAAATTTTCACTGAAGGGAACCCAACACAAACACAACATTTAGGGCGGGAATCAGTGATGTCTAAAGTGATATGTGAATTGGGTGGCACAGGAGTCAGCGCACTGCACCATAAACCCAGTGACCTGAGTTCAATTCCTAGCCATGGCGAACATGAGTGGAGTGATATCTGAACCAGCCATGCACCTCCCCCCCCCAGCCCCCTTTCATAGAGCCACATTGACCAATGTAGTCAAGTATGGTCAAACAAGCCCCATGACCAACATGGGTATGGGAGGCCTTCCAACGATTGACACTGGATAGTATTTTGTTATCCTGATTAAACTGTTTAAATAGATGGAGAAATTTTGATTTAAAGCTTTCGTGACTGCAGGGATTCATATTCTTGGTTCTTTCGATAAAGTCACGTAGAAGGGAAACAATAAAATAATAAAAATATAAAACAATACAATTCTCACGACGTTTCGACTGCAACACAAGCAATCATCATCAGGTGTGAAAACCACAACAAAAAAATTTGTTGTGGTTTTCACACCTGATGATGAATGCTTGTGTTGCAGTCGAAACGTCGTGAGAATTTTATTGTTTTATATTTTTATTATTTGTTTCCCTTCTACGTGACATTACCGAAAGAACCAAGAAAGATGGAGAAATGTCTAAAATGACGTCCATTGGTAGAAAAAATGCCTTCAAGTGGCGAAACATTACTTTAATCCCTTTGTTGAGGGTGATTTGTAAAATACGAATATGCTTTAATCCTCATGAATGAATGTCAACTAAGCACGTTGCATTTAATTTTGGATGGAATATTTCCTGTACACATCTTCCTTAACTTGCATCTCAATGCACATATTTGGAGCTCAATCTATTTAACATTGCAGTGTTTCATGCTATAAACCAGGAGTGCAGGACTTTCTCCTTACATGGCTGAAGTAGGACTTTAAAAGCCGTTTGGCGGGGGCCACACATGAACACACACCACAGTCGCTTCTATCGCTGATGCCCCTGCAGTGACAGAAGTTGATTGAACGTGCTGAAATCTGAAACAGTGTGCACTGCCAAGTTGGAAATATTTCCCTCAAGTACCCGATTTTTGTGGCTAAGATGTTCGAAGCGATGGATAAAAAAATCGTTTGTGGGCCATTTATAAGTGGGAGGCCTCATGTGACCAAGGGTCATATTTGGTCAGCGGGCCATATGTTCCTGACCCCTAGTCTAAAGCCCACAACAAGCACCATCGGCTGCCACTTCAAGTGCACTTCAAGTGTGCCTCAAGTGCACTTCGATCGCCTTTCAAACGCTCAACGCGACGTGGTCGTAGTTCGACAGCGGCGCTGCCCGCGAGGCTCGGGGATCGCCGTGGGGGGCCCGACGTCGCCCCGAGGGAGCGCTACGTGCCCCGCAGGGACCCCTCGGATACGTCCTGCAGCGTGTCCTCGCTGCCGCTGTCCCCGCCCTCATCGCGCCGCCGTATCCCCGGCGCAGACGCGGGCGCCTGCGCGGCACCGCTCGGCCGCCCGCCAACTTGCCGGGAGTCTCCTGCCACACAGACGTCCAGCACAGGTTGTCAGCACAGGGGTGGTGTTGGGGTTTGGCTCATTCTCGAGCCGTGCACTGCTTGACCAAGTGTATTTGCAGGGCTCCAGTCAAGCGTGTAATGATGGAAGGAGTCTACCCCCCCCCCCCCCCCATTAAGTGATTCCAGGAATTTTTACAATTCTGGTTCACGGTTCGATTCGAGAATCAATAGATTTTTTTCGTCTCAATGTTGCTGTCTCGTTTGCATTGTTTCTAATTTATTCGTCTTTTTTGTGCAGTTGTTGGCTCCCTTCGGCTAAATGTAACAGCATATATTATGAAATGTAATGTGTGTGAGTGGCAAATAACAGATTCTCACAAAGCACACTTCAAGGCACGCATCACAAGCGCAAACGTCGCTTCTTACTCGGTGCGCCGTTTCACGCCGCGCTGCAAATCAAGGCAGCAATTTAAATCCTCCCCCAACACCCCCCCCCCCTCTTTGCAATCAAACTACCCAAGCAGAAAGCCTCGACAGTCAATTTAAGCAAAGCTAACCCAAGGGTTAACCTTTAAAACCTCTTGTGTTTCTCTGCCTGAGAGGGACGCTTAAATTTAACGTGAGCGGCGAGATGTTACGAGCGCAGAGCGGTGGGGGTGGGCGGGCCGTGCCTGCAGCGCCGTGCAGGTAGCGGCCAGGCTCCACCACGGTGCGGCAAAGGTCCCCCGAGGCCAACTCCTCTGCTCCTGCGGAACGGAAACACAGTTCGTCCGTGACCGCCACAACCGCGGGACGCTACTCGTTGACCCCGCTCGTTACTTTTCAACGATCGGCTAATTTTTGCGTGGACGTAAAAAGATCCCGTGACGAAAAGTTCGCAAGAGTTGTGCCTTTGCATTGCTGGTGTCGCGACTAATTACGTGCAATCGCTAAAAAGGTCAATTTGTCACTTCCTGAATGTTTTTCCTCGACCAAATGCCCGTTGTGCCAAGCTGCAGAGGATTGTCCCGAGACAAAACAAGACAAAGCTTAGGATCCGGATAATTAAGGCAATTATTATAATTTTAAGGTAAAGCATTTCGCAACCTTCGTTAGGCCGCATGGTTCACCGGAGGAGAGCAATTTGGAGCTCACAGGTCAAGCTGACAATAAACTGTTACAAAAAACGGAGCAAACGGGGTGTTTTGCAAGTTGTGAATGATTCCAACTGCACCTTGGCCTTGCCCTCACCACGCAAATCTGGAAGCTCACACGGTCAATCAAACGCTGCCGGAAGCAGGAGGGTAGGAGCGAGCTGGAGACCGCTCGCAAATCCCCAGGACACTATCCCAGAAGACTCACGGTGGGTGCGGTCAACTGAGCTCACTTGAGTGGAAGGTTATGAATTACCATCGATGATGTAACCAACTGCGGAAGCTCATTTAAAACAAGCTCCATAAGCACAATGTGAATATATATTATGTTTTAGCCTGTAGAACTCATTTAAAACAAGTTAAGTGAGCAATACAACAAAATGTGCAATGGCATCTTAAATTCAGAAGGGATGCAACTGATGGACTTCATTGGTAAAATAAGAAAGCACAAATAATAAAACTCAAAAGTTTTCTATTAACATAGTTTTATAAAAAATATATACACACAGTAGGCTGATGTCTTGGGCAAAAGCCCTCCTTCAGAGCAGGCAGTAGAGATAATTCCTTGTTACATATTACTCTCTGTTCTAAGACGGGGCATTGTCCAAAAATATCTTCCCGCTATATACATATGTTCCTGTGTGAAGGTAGTATCAGGGCTCATGAAAAAAAAAACGTACAGTAGAACCTCGAAGATCAAATGCCCCAGAACTCGAACAATTCGGTGATCGAACAAAATTTTCGACCATTTTTTTGCCCCGGACATCGAACAAAAATTCGGAGGTCGAACAAATGGAAAGAACCGGTTTGGGCCGAGACACGTAGCCAGGGCGACCGAGACAAAGGCGGATGACCCAGTTTACGCGTAGCTCTCTCGTACTTTATCACTGTAAAGTTCCTGCCCCCCAATACGACTCCTCTCATCCAGCCCATGGACCAACAGGTAATTTCCAACTTTAAAAAAACTCTACACGAAAGCCTTTTTTCAAAGGTGGCAAAATAGGCTGAGTTACACAATGTTGTAGAAAAAATATCATCCAGATAAGGCAGTAGCCAGCAGAGCAGGCGATTTTTATAATGATAATGCAATGAGTCATTTCAGAAACATCTTAAAACGGAGGTAGAAACAATCCTCTCTTGATAAGTTTTTAGTAAAAAGGCCCTCAAGTGAATCACAGTTAGTGCTCGAAAAAAGGCAAAAAAAAAGAAAGAACCCCAGAAGGGCAGTTACCCAACGTGTTTATGGAGGGGGACTGCCCTTCCAAGCAACACTGACACCTCCTCCTCCCCTCCTCACCAACTTCTACTCAAGCCATCCACTCTCCTTACTACAGGTAAAGTGAAGTTCAATGTTCATTTATTCTATTAATTATAACTGTGTTTCTTGTTTTTTGTATGCTTTTATGTACTGTACTGTATTTTAATATTGTAAACTTTGTGTAAAAATGGCCCATAATAGGAGCATCCTTGGGTGGGGAACCAATTAATGATATTTCTATTCATTATTATGGGGAAAATTGATTCGGTGTTCGAACACGGTTTTGGAACGAATTAAGTTCGATCTCCGAGGTACCACTGCATTTGCTCAATGCATGTAGACTAATAAACGATAATAATAAATGCAGGCAGTTTAATCACGTAGCCACATGTTCCGTTATAGGCACGTGATGGCCGTTACATTGATCAATTAGATTTGTTAAATCACCTTATTTTTGTATACCAAATATATTATGTAATTCTACAGTCTAGTTGTCAACTAACCATCAGCATAGCATTTGCAGAGCTCACGTCACATTTCAATGCTAATGATGCAAGAGAAAAAAATATCTTACAAATATAAAAAATCAATTACCTTTAACACCACGAGTGGATTTTTCAAAGGAAACCTGAATCAATGAACTCTCGTCATCAAAGAGAACTCGCTGATGAACTGACCAGATGTGGTGGTGGCCGTCTCCTCTCGCCGTCCCACGTGGATGACTCTGCTTCTGGGCAGCTCTCGAGGCTGACAAACAAAAAACGCGGTCAGCGCTCAGGCGCGGCCAAGCCAACAAACGTTCACGGCACCGGTGGGACAGGTGGGAGAGGTGGGACAGGTGGGAGTAGTGGGACAGGTGGGAGAGGTGGGACAGGTGGGAGAGGTGCGCCCGTCGTACCCGCGGCGCAGGGGGCTGCCGCTCGGGGCTGCGTTGCCTCGGCCGTCGAGTGCCGCTCGATCGAGAGCCCAGGTCCCGCAGCGACATGGGCCCCACGCTGCCGGCGCCGTCCTCGGGGCCCACCCCTGCTGGCGGTACCACGGGCGGCCGGAATGCAGAAAGAAATTCAAGCGCGTCGCTCAATCTCCAGCGTAACATAAACATCTTCATTGAATGTGCACGTTTTGTCCAAATAAGCTCGGGTTGCTTGACCACGGAGTGGTTCAACCTGCCCATAATATTTACACGTTGTTATTTAATCCCCTGTGCCGCTAATTGATTTCAGGCCTGCCATCAATTTTAAGAGTTGCTAACAATCTTTTGCCAGGATGAATCCCAAAAGACCAGTGGTATATATTAGGGTACGGTAGAAGCCTTCTTAAAACAAACTTTGGGGCAATTTCTTTGCAATGACCCTACATTCCGTTTCAAAGGAGCAAACTGTGTGAATTAAAGACTCGTCACTGGACTATGTCTACTTCGAGGGAATGTTTAGTGCAAACAAGTTTATTGTCTTCTACTTTTGATCAGAGAGAGCAGAGTTCCGGGGGAGAGTGTACTGTGCTATGAAGCCAGCAAGAATCACGGCGAACACCACCAGTGGCTAGTGACATTTAAACTAACATGCACTGACTAGCATGGTAAAGCATGGTCAAACAACCCCTAAGACTGACGTTGCATGGGAAGGCCTTATGTACTATTTTTACAAATCAGCTGTGGGTCACCATCACCCATGGTCAATCCACCACCAGATGAAAGCCTCACCAAGCCATCGCAATCTCTCACAGCCCTGCCAACTCTTAATTTTATAATTGAACGTTTTGGTCGCTGACACCAAGTATTGATGATGGTGGTGGCAGTGGTTGGTGCTGGTGCAGTGAGCAGCTGGCAGTGCCCACCGTCTGAACCACGTTCGCCGGGCGAGCGTCTCCCCGCGTCGACCGCCTGGCGCGCGGCAACGACGCCGTAGCGCGAGTGCCCCGTCATGACGGTCTCCGCAACGGACGTCAGCCTGGGCCTCTGGCCCTCGCTCAGCTCCCCAACACTCCCCTCGTCCTCTTCGTCATCCGGGCTCTATCAAACCGTAGGAGCAAACACACGCACAGTGCACGCAGGGGCGGAGCCAGGGGGGGTGACAGGGGTGACATTCTGCATATAAGTGTACGACACTCGGTCTGGCGGGCTCCGTGCAACTGCATTGTCAGAGTGTGTCGCCAACCGATGGCGTCTAGTTCAACAGCCTGACTCTCTAATCATTCTGGAAATTAAAATTTGTTGAATGTCACCCCGGGCTGAAAAGCCTGGCTCCGCCCCTGAGTGCACGCACGCATGCATGTACGCAGATTGATGAGATCCCTCGGCCGACGAAAGTGTTCGCTCCACCGAGCAGCCAACAGTTGTGTACGTTTGTATATATGTATGCTGAACTTCTTTCGCACCGTACGTAGCCAACCGTGCTAATCGGAAGTGCAGGGTTGGTACCTTTGCAACCGATAGTCCTTTGGTCAACTATGTACATTGCATAGTATGTTGTATTAAATAGTGTGCATGTAAAATATTAAAAAAAGCTTGCTGTTCGCATTCAACACAATGTTTTTAATGTTCGTTATTATGTCATGTTTATTTATTTCCCCTTAATTTGTATTACATTGTGTTATAGGCATCACGCCATGAGATGAAAAAAAGTTCATCAAAAAAAGGTGTTAATGTCTGATCGCCGTAATATGCCAAATTAGTTGAAAATCCTAATTTAATATTATATTTTTCCAAGCAGTTATCAGTGACTAGCCTGAGACACTCAATTTGTTACGAGTGGCTACCTGGATTCAATCCCAAGATCTCAGTCGTGCAAGGTCAGTGATCTGACCCCTAAGTCACTCAAGCCTACGTTTCTAAGTGGCGTCAGCCTCTCTCAGTGAATGTGAGACGGGATGGCACAACGTGCGGTGCTCTCACCGCCCGTCACTCGCACTTGGTGGAAGCGGCCTACCTCTGGCCGGTAGTGGATAGGGAAGCCTTCCACTGGCTTCTGCTTCGTGCTGACCATCATGGAGAGCACGGGGTCCCTGTGAGCTCCCCAGGGTGGCTGTCTGACCACCTGACCTTCACTCGGAGGATCGAAGTCCTGTAAGACACGAGTGGACGTCTCAAATGTTTGGCTCAGAGCAGCAGCTATGAGCACATGCGCCAATCCTTTGGGTCTCATCAGCGCTGCAACAGCTGTGCCCAAGCCAAACAAAAAATGTTCAACGATGCACACAAACAAGGTGCGGCCCTTTACACAGTGGAGACCATAAACAAAGTGGCCTTTACTGTTAATACAAAATCACCATTAGAAGGCTCGTGAAGGTAAAGCCAATATAGCGTCACACATGGCACGCACCTCAAGTGTGACGGACACACTGCACGCACACCCTTTATATGAAGCTCAATGAATGGTTTCCCATTAGAGGACGTACATTGTTCACAATTTATACATTAGAGTGCTGTGAAGGCAATCCCAATTAAAATGAGGTTTTACTACTTGCACCACCTCTTTAGGGGCAGGCAGTTTACATTACCAGAGAGGCGACAGATACAATGCTGCCTTTTAGTGTTGATTTTCCAGTTCAGTTTGCAAGGCTTTAACAGCCAGTAAAGGCATCCCATAAAATGCTTTTCAATGGGGTTGCCCACACCCCCGCATCCACCGTAGACTCCTCGAACCAGCAGCAGGAAAAGCCAGACATGTTTACACTTTGTTCTGGCTTTGCACAGAGGCAGACCGTTTGCCAAACGTCTCATGGACGGGCCGAAATGGCTCACAGCTGGCAAGGATGGGGCTCAGACAAATAACTCGTGCTTCCGGACATAACGGTATCCTTGCTTTCACTTGAGGCTTGTGACCAACGTGCATATTGTTGTTATTATTAGCCGTGCGTGTCAGTCAATTCTGTTTGCAATAATAAATGACAAATCCCATTCTAAACAAATGTGCGACACGTTTTTCCAAAGTGCCACAGTCGAGAAAGAGCACAGAGAAGGGGCAGACGGGGAAGCGTTTCCCTCTCGAAGGAGTGTTTCCTTCTGGATGGCGAGTCTCTGGAAATGCTATCTGCAATGTCAGAGGAGGTTTCAGTCACAGTGGTGATTTGACGGGAGGCAGCATTAACAGCCGTCCACCAGAATCAATCCCGATTCCGGCTGACATGCGCTCCCTGAAGCGGAGAGGGGATTCGTGCAAGCACTGCACTCTTAACGGCAGTGACCGCGGCAGCGATATTATTTCTTTATTATTGCACCAGTGCCTGTTGCAGAAATATTATTTACTTATTTACTATTGCGGCGGTGACTGTGGCAGCAATATTGCCGCACTCGCCATCTGTCGTGATAAATGACCAAGACAACGTGGCATAAATGGTGGATGGAATTCCGCATTCGATGTAGATGGTAACTTGATTGCGGCTTAAACGTTCTCAATGCCCAACTCTTCTGCGCACATGTGAGTTCCTCCACACCGGTTACCCTCAACCGAACCCTGCCATATTGGAGTTTAGCATTGGTATCACTATTCACCATCCTTTCATAAATTTCACTTGTGCATTTCTGCACTCGGATTATATAAGAATTGGTCGTTGACTAAATATTTTATGAGGCCATTAATTTCTAGATCACTTATTACACAATTAAGTTGTGTGCACTCGTTTACAAGGGTCCAATGTTACGGGAAGGCCGATTCGACCATCTTGAGCAAATTGTAACAAATCACAAAGTAAATAAATAACCACAACACAGCTGCATGGATTGCACGGTGTAACCGGGAGTACACCACGGCCCCGAATGCATTGTCAGAGGGTGTTTGTGGCCTGCCTGGCAGTAACAATAATGACCCTGCCCCACCGGTAACGGCCCTTTTACTGCTCTGGGGACCAAAGTGGGGAGTTTGGAGGGGCACTTCAAAGCACCGCAGCCAAAATAAACTCCTGTTTGCTCAGGGGGCTTCCGGAGGGTTTAGTATCAGCTGGGGAGGGGAGACAGATGGAGAGGGCCTGTGCCCAGCGAGCCACCGGCAGCGCGCTGGCCTGCCAGCCCGAGGTGCATGGGAGAGTGCATCGCACCCCCGATTGGCACGGTTGGCTACATATGGTGCGAAAGAAGTTCAACATACACACGTACATGCATCATTGTCATTGCGTGACTGTTTTATGTATGTATGTTAAACTCATTTCGCACCTTACGTAGCCAACCGTGCTAATCGGAGGTGCGGGAGAAAGGACAACAAACTAAACACAAAAAGCAGGTGGTGGTGTCGTGGGCATGCCTTCATCCAGCAATGGACTGACCTATGCTGATGATGACATGCCCTAGTTGGGTGCAGCAGTGATGTTGTTGGTCGCATATTGCGCTGTGTATCTGGTGATGTCATAACATCAGTGGTGAGTGATATCCGAATTCATCTAGGGCCACCCTTCACCAACCAGCACGGCGAAATATGGTTCAGACAACCTCCGTGACCAACATTGCATGGGGAGGCCTTCGTTCACTTGGCCCTAGGCAACGTGGAGGAGCAATCGATCATCAATGTGGTGTCCCTACAATTGTGTGTCAATTACTCTCGTTATCGCACACCACGACTCCAGCAAGTGGGTGGAGGGCTATTCCGACCGGCTACCAGTTTTAAATTACTTGATTGGTATCCAGACAGTTTATTTTCTATCATTGAACAGGATGCACCCTGGGTGATATTCACCAACCACGGAGAGAGAGTAATGCTGTACAAATAAAATCGTAAAGATCCATCGATCAAAATAGATGTCAGTTTAACACGTAGGCTTTCGCGACCATAATCATCCATAATAGAGGGGTTTTTTTGTTAGATAATGTAAATATATAAATAGATGTATATACGCACGACACTTGCATCGAGTCACGTATGTAAAAGCTAATTCTGTCTGATGTATGCAATTACTGTGATAATTACATTTAGAGCAGTGGAGTAAACAACCCTACATAAACAAGACAGTACATTTTAAAACAACAACAAAAAGTTACATTCTTCAATTGAATTGCAAACCCAAATCATAACAATTAACCAACTCGCTGTGCGGGATGAATCGTCACATGGCTAATCATGAGCTCGTTATCAAAGGCAACGACCGGCTTGTGCATAGCAGTGCTCTTTAGACTTGTGCCATGTTCCCCCCACCCCCGCCTGCTCTGGTGAGTCCGGTGTGCCTGATGATGCCGTCAACGTCGCTGGGAATGCCGTCCAGAACGACAGGACGTTGCATTGTATGATGTGAGGGAGGATGTGGAATAAAAAATATTTTGTTGTGCAAATATTTAAAGGAATGTTAGCCATGCGTGTTCATCACTCGCCCCCTGGTGGACAAGCTGCGGAACGATTAGCTGACAGCTCAAACATGAAGGTGGCAAGAAAATGCCATCTGGTCGGAGGATAAAATGCATACAATAATTATTATGCCAAACTAAATACACGGCTTGTTAACCAACGTGTTATTCGTACACTGAACCTGAATACATTCAGGGATAGTGTCCCCTTGAGAGTGTCCTATTTCATGATAACACGTTAGAGAATTATCCATTCCATCACCGTGCATCCCACTCCAGCTGTTGAGGCTGATACACCGTTAGCGGCCGCAATCCGTGAGATTGTTTAATATTTTGTCATATCAAAACGTACGGATCCGCGCATGCCAAAGCGGAGTGCATCATGGACAACAATTCTCTCGTGAAATTTGCCACACGTTTAGTTATTTTTCACTTCAATGTTTACAAGTAGATGTGCTATTAAAACAAAACTATTGTTTTGTTTAGTTTAAACCTCGCTTGGGAAAAGCAGCGAGTCATTTCACCGAATGTGCCCCGGACAAATGAGCAACCAAACGATGAATGGCTCGACGCTCTGAGCGCGGTGCGAGCCCACCGGGCGATGTCTACCGGGCATGACGTGGTTAACGCCACAGCCAAACCCACCCGATGACTCGATGGATTTCCAGAATCAGGGGGTTGCGATTCCATTCAAGAATGTATTACCTTTGTCTTGTTTTGACCATCCATCTCATATACCTCGTTTCTTGACGGCTTAATTTCTGTCTCGTTTATTCCATCTCATTCACTTAATGAGCCAAATTCGTGTAGAATTTGCACGAACCTTAAATAGTCAATTCTTACCCGCGCGATTTGATGCGTGTGCATCGCGAGCATAACATCGTGAATGGGTCGATGATGCAACGGAACAAGTCTGCTGTCCACCGTGTGTGCCACATTCAAGAGCTCGGTCCAGCAGAGGGCGCCAGCACTTTATTGAAATACAGTGGCTTACACTGGGCACGGGGTGGGGGGGTGGAGAGGGACAATACCACACGATTACCAAAACAAATGTCGCGCTGGTGATTTACCATGTCCTGCACGTCGTGTAAGGTGTTGGAGAGGTTGGGCACACCATTCACCAAAGTGACTCCTTCCTCTGCCAGGGCTATGGGCAGAAACAGAAACGTAACAACAAAAGCACAGTCACTGCAGGTAACGTTCACAACCAGGTTGGGCTTCCATTTCAAAGTTGTTCGACCAAATTTTAACTTCACGCAAGGCAGCTGCGCAGCAGTTTATCCCACTACTCTTAGGAGCTATGATGCTTGGCTGATTTGGTGTAAATGCAGGATACGGTTGTAGCTGACCAGGATCTCGTAAATGCGAGATGCATTTACATGGAGTATGAAGAATTTAAAATGAGTAATTTTACAGTGACCCACCTGAGTTTGATTTCCAGCCACAGCTAACATCTATGGCAAGTGATAAATGAACCGATTCTGCACCCCCCCATTCACCAACCCCCACTGACCAGCGTGGTGAAGTATGGTCAATCAATCCCCATGACCAACATGGCATGGGGAGGACTTCATGCATATGCTCAAAACTAAAACTATGAAAACAAAATATTTTGCCAGGTAAGGCCCACTGAGCTCTATAGCTCTTTTTCAGAAGCAGCCTGGCTACAATGATAGCTCAACGAAGTGGCTTACCATGTAGAAACTTATAGTAGCCAAATATTCTAAACGCATGTTTCTAAATGAGGGAAAAACCGGAGGAACCGCAGAAAAATCCACGCGACCACGGGGAGATCATGCAAACTCCAAATATATAGGCATCAGGGTCGGCGAGGGAGATGGCGAAGCTGATTAACACACACAAACGCTTTTAGCAACAGAGGCACTGCTATGGTCTTGCATAAAAGCCACGATTCTCTTGAAATTCTAAACAAAGGTCGAATGATCGCGTTATTGGGAGATGGATACGGACGGTGACACGGGGATCCGAGCGTGCCATGCGCACGAGGTGACGTGACGGGAGTGTGCGGGCACCTTGGGCCGCCAGGATACGGTTGTAGCTGACCAGGATCTCGCCGTCAGAGAAGTTCCTGTCGCCGGTTTCCGTCTCGGTGATGGAGATGAGCGAGCTGCTGGGGGTGTTTTCCCGTGGCAGCGGCGAGCGTGGGGACAGCGAGGGGGACGGCGGCGGCGGTGGCGGCGTTGGCGACCGCGTCACGGGGACCGGGCTGGGCACTGGGGGCCCCACCAGACTCGTGGGCTCCTCCTCGCGCTGCACCGACATCACCCTGTGCCCACAACAGACAAAGATCCCCCGTGTAGACTTTAACGGACTGTCGGGGCAAGTGCCGTTAGCGAGCAGCGCCTATGAAGGCCGGCACGGCACACGAGGGGGTGGGAGGCCAGCGCCGCGACCAGCCGGCCACGTTTGTTTCCCTAACATACGCGCACACAGGAGCACAATGTCTGTGGTGTATACATACGCTTGCAGTCGCCGTACATGCATAGCGAAGTTGGGAAGATTGGTCAAATAAGTAAATAAAGTGACAAAATGTTTTTTTTATTTTCTTAGTTCAGATATTTGGCCCTTTTTACTCTGATACAAGATGGTGCGCTGCTATCTGGGAGAGTTCCAAATGGAACTGTATACATCTCGTGACATGATGCCCTGAGTCCAATCGGTATACAATCGGGGGATGACCAACAAACAGGAGACGCAGGAGCGGAACGCTGCACTCTCTGTAAAGACGCCTCCGCTCACGACACCAGAGGGCGCCCCGACACCACGCTCCGTGTACGTCTCTTCCACACTGCGCAACATTTCACTGCCATGAGATGCATCTCAATGCAGTGCCATAGATTACTCGCTACAAAAAAGGAGGTTCATTTTAGGACTGCGAGAAGTTGGTTTCCCGCGAGGTGCTCCCGGACACAGTAACAATGCTGTGAGAGCAGCGGAACGGGAGGTGTCCATTGCCCCGGGGGGCTCGGAGGACAGAAGCCCACGGTGGTTTCTTGCTCAGAAGGACATCACAGATCAGCGAGACCCCCCCCTCCCCCCTCGTGATCATACCAACGTGGGGCCACAGGTAATTCGGGTGACACCGAGCTGCTGACGACACTCACACGGGCGGGCGACGCGGCGACTCTTTGGGCCGCGGGCTCGGGTTTTCCTCTTCCAGGGGCAGCTCTGCATCTCCCCAGGGGTTGGCGGTCGGCGGGGGCTCGGGGGTGGGGGCCCTCGCAGAGGCCGGAGGGGACGGGCTGGGCGCCGGTGTGGCGATCGCCACAATGACCACCGGCAAGGAGTCCTCTGCCGCGCGTGATCACGGGGGGGGGGGGGGGCGGTAGTACGATGGTTAGTGCCCTGCACGACGAACCTGGCAATATGAGATTGATTCCCAAGTACTGCTAACATCAGTGGCGAGTGATATCAGATCACTTCCTGCGCTCCCTCCCCACCCTTTACCCACTCACGCTGACCAGTGTGGTCAAATATGGTCAGAACACCCCCATGGTCCGTATGATGTGGAAAGGCCTTCATCGAAACGTATATTGAGAATGGCTGGAATTTTTTTTTATTGTTTTATTCACATTCACCCAACAACCAAATTACAACCGGATGTTTAAGCCTGATGGGAGACTGCCTGGGAATGCCAGGCATTGTAATCTTGGTTTGCAAGGGAGCCAGGAGATGGTAGCACAGAAATAGCTGAATGAATCTAATTCTGTGGAGCTTTCGGTGTTATCTCCTCGTATGTGTGGGTTTTCTCCAAGTACTCTGGCTTCTTCCCACATGCCAAGCACATATTTAATGAACTTGGCCAAACATCTCAATGCCAAACCTTCCAGAAAATTGGTATTGAGAGAAAGTGGTGTTTTAATGGGTAAATAAAGGTTATCGTTATTCTCTGGTGATATACCGTGCCATAATTTTGTAACCATCCATTATTTACTAAACCTTGGCATTACGTCCACCACTTTTAACACAAATGTGCATGTCAGACAAATGATTACTATGCTCCAGAGTGTTCCAGGCACAGTTGTCTTGCATTGGTGACGTACTGTAATATGTGCAATTTACACTTCAACAGTGACGTGTACTTAATGAATACTTATAATCATGGGAAAGAGTGTATATTATAAAGTGAAATTCACCTTGAAAACAACAAAACACAGGAGGCAAACAAGCTCTCTGGACATCGCTATAAAGAAGGGCCTTGCTGTCCGGGTAGGGCTGAATCATAATAGGAACGGGTGATACTTTGCCAAACTGGTCGTGTAATTCCACCCGCCGTATTCGTTAGACTTTGAGTAAATCATACGTGCCAGAAATCTGAGCGATAATGAAACAGTAGAATACGCAAATATCTAAACCAGGGGCAACCTGTGTAGTATCCAAGCAATGGGACCGGTGTGAGACCCTAGCCAGGTGAATGCAGCATGCTCGCCAGGCGATATGCGATGCCCTGCCTGGTCGTGCGCACGATACCCTTACCTTAGGTTTACGCAAACACTGACCTTGTGCCAACTCTGGGCCAGTTGGGATGCCCTCCGACTCCTCCTCCTCCTCCGAGAGGGACGTGCGCGGCGTTGGCACCGGCGTGCGAACGCGAGGGGCGTCCGCGCCCCCGTCCGGCGAGGGCACGCGGGGAGGGGTGTGCTGGGGGGTGGGCAGTGGCGTGGGCACCATGCGGGGCTGGGGCGCGACACGAACGTTCAAGTAGGTTACCAGCGGCGGGGTCGGACCGGCGGGGTCATGAGCGTCTCATAACACTGCGCCCGCCCTCCCTCCACCCCAACCCTCACCGCTCAAATGTGTCACTCGTGCCAATCCGTGACGTGGCCTGCCGGGAGCAGCTTGGGAAAACGAAACGAGTAAGTTGCTTACAGACACCACGATACCATTCCTGCCAGTGACTTGTGGAGGGAAGATTAGAAAGGCAGAGAACCAGTGACCACCAGATGGCAGCGTTGCAGCAGGAATGGGCAGAGTATGCCGCCCTCTGGATTTAATCACCGCAGCCAATGACAGAAACAGGATGTGAGCCTGGCCCCGCGTGTGAGCGGGGTTGTGCATAACCTGCTCGTTACGAGGAATACTAATTCCTCTCGCGCAGCCACTGCCACTGGCTGCAATGTCTCCCTCCAGGGTTTTGACTCCCTGCCGCCCATCGCTCGTGAAATATGCGTTATTATTTGGAGGCTTTTGAAGATTCCCATCCAGCAAACGTCTATTCAAGCCATCAAATTTAAATACGGTCAAACCTGCAGGTAATTTTCCAAATTAATCTCCAGAATATAGCCGTAAGCAGTGGCTAAAACAGGATGACGATGCTCAATGTTGCAATCGGCCCTCGCTGAGATAATGAGAGCTGACGTAATTTACTTAGTGGATGCAATCTGACACGAACAATTGTGCAAGGTGTCACGTGTCAAACCTGGTGTTAAATTCACGGAAAATATATCCCCGCTTCCCGATTAATTACGTGACATTACCAATGCATATGGAGTAACTTTGTACTCCACTCACCAATACGGTACCTTACATATTAATATCACTTAATATTGTGTATAACCGATATACCATACGTAAATCTACGGAAAAAATGTAAAAGTGCAGGCCTGAAATTGCTCACGCCTGGCAGACGGGCCTTCCGCTAGATCGAACTCAAGAGGGTATTTGGTCTATTCTTCCACGTTGACCAGACGTGTTGGAAAGAGGTAGGCATACTCACACATTACCTCACTACATGCGGCCTGCAGATCGACTCACTGTGTGTGAACCCATTTATATTGCTCGGTGGGCAGAGGCGAGAAGATGTAAAAAACTCGCCCCGTCGATCCGACTGCCGCCCACCGGAAGATGGAATCGAATCGGCGACATCTGGATTGCAAGTCGCGTTTGCTCACCATTAAACTGCGGGCGACTCTCGTATGAAACTATAGAGCTCCAAAAATAAAACACTTGCACAAAGTGACGGGAAAAGGAACAGTGGCTCATTAAAAAAAAATCTAGTTTTGCAATGAAATTGTAACAACCCTACCCAAATGATGCCTGGCTCTACAATGCCACCAGACACACGCCTCTTGCAATATACACTCTCAGAGGCAGCAATTACACCCGTCATGGCTCTAACGCAGGCTGGAACACGCTGTGCTACAATGAACACTGCAGTGGGAGTGGAAAAACAGAAAAACCTTGTCTTAAAAACAGAGAAACCTTGTCTTATTACAACCTTGTTACGGCACCATGTTTTTGATCAGTTTTGGCTGCTCATTTCTCTCCCTGCTTTTTTTTGTCACGTTTCAATATGCATTTTTATTTAATTTTACGCCTTTGTGAGGAAAAAAGCACCCATTTTTCTCGCTTGGCATAGGTGGAAATCCATAGCTATGAATTATGGTTTTTTTTTTTAGATGTAAGTGATGAAACGAAAAGAAATGCCTTTTCAAAAACGTTAAAATCATAACAGTAAGATTCCCAGAAAACATGTCAACGTAATTAGGCTTTTCAGATTATTCATATGCTGCCGAAAAAATACATTAGAATTCAGAATAAAAAAAACAAGTGAATATGTAAATATGTTTATCTGTCATCCTAAAATCATCATTAGAATGCAAGGATGGACAGAGACATGCAGATGAGGCACAAGCTCACATATTATTACCCCGGCCTTTAATTTATTTGATAAGGAAGATAAAACACTAATATTAGAGGCTAAACTGGCGAGCGTTAATTCATGCTTCTATCGGCACGAAAGGGGAGGACAAAGCTAGAATCGGTAAAACACCGTGGCCCCCGGTCGAATAAAAAACATAATTGACTTCATGGTGAATGCAGAGTAATGATTTGTGGTAACTCATGGTTAGGGTTAGGGCTACGACTTGCCCTGGACAGGAATAAACACTGGCACTGGCTAATGGTTAATGCTGCTAGGAATTTAATAATTCAACCTCCCCTTGCGATTCCATGAATTGTCACAACTCGGGATTGTTATTTTATTCAACAATCAATGCTTTTGCTATCACTGCAGTGAATGTAGCATTTTCCGTGACTGCGTCTTGGTCACATGAACCGATTGTAATGCACACGAAGTAAAAATAATCCACCCTTACGTGATTTGGTGCACGTATCGTGAGCGTAATAATCAATTTTAATTCACGTGCCTAGTTGATACTAAATCCATGGCCAAATAAATACAACACTGGGTTTGGTCTAGTGCTAGCTCTAGCTCGTAATAGAAATACGCCGATGTAGAATCATCACGATAGGTCTAACATTAGCTTGGGGGTTAGCTGCCCTAACACCCGTACCGTCCCGGTACAGACGCTCAGTCGACAACGTGTTCCCCGCTCAGTGAGCAGAACGAGAGTTACGCGCGGAGCGGTGACCAACGCGCGGAGCGGTGACCACCGCGGCGTTTGCGCCGTACCGGTGAGCGCGCTCGGGGGGGCGACCGAGCCGCCGGCCTCGCCGGCCTCGCGTCGGGACGCTGACCCAGGGTGACGGCGACGACCTCGGCCAGCGATTCGGCCACCAGTGCCCGCACGAGATCCGAGTCCACGGGGAGCCCCGCGTCCACAAACAGCTGCAGGCCCCCACCGCCCGCTGCCTCCACTGCAAACACAAAGAGCCCCCGTATAGCCTAAACAGACTGTTGGGGCAAGTGCTGTTAGCGAGCACACTCTGAAGGCTGGAACGGCACACGAGGCGATCGGTGGCCAACACTACGCCCGCCACCTTTGTCTCCCCAGTGGTCATGTTTGCACACAAGACCAGGTACTTATTTGAGACTGAGTTGACCTAGGGGATGCCCGGGACCGGTTCAGATAATCGTCACTTGTGTTGGCCGTGATTGGGAATCGAACATGGGTTGCCGGGTTCGTAGTGCAGGGCGCTAAGCGCTTCACTACCACCTCCACTACACACGCAGGCATACACACACCCACGCGCACACATGCACCCGAGTCAAGAGCCGCATGGCTCACAGGGCTATACCTAATAAATGAAACTGAATTTCTGATCGTATACCAACCTTGATAGGTGCTCGCTAACAGCATGTACCCCAATAGCCTCTGTAGGCTATGTAGGCTGATGAGACACCGAATGTCAAAACCGGTTCAGAGTTTGCTTGTATTAAACCCATGGCCTCTCTGAAGGGATGTCTTATTTGTGGAGATACAAATACGAGGAGGCGTACTGTCCATTAATTTATTTTGTTACATATACAGTATATTCTCCACGAAGCTTCACGATTATTTTGTGTTCCCTTACAATCGGTCAGGCAAGCTCCATCCACTCGGTCAAAGTGAAAGGGGTCGGGGGGGGGTTTACTAAACTCCGCTGTCTATTTTGGAAATTAAGCATTTTTGTGGAACAAAATAGATCGGGGCAAAGAGCTTTTGGGCACGTGTCTCCTCCAGCAGCGGTGACGGGGCAGGATGGTCCAGCGATGAAACACTTTCCCGCCACTAAAGAATGCGCCCCTTTACAGCAGCGAGAGCAAACAATCTTAAGAATCCTGCAACTGCGCACTTAAGGAACTGCTGAGTCGGCAAACAGAGAGGGCATTTGTTAGTGCGGTGGGGGTGTGGGTCCAGAGTGTGTTTGCGTACAAGGGTGTGCGTGCAGCGCTCGGGGCAGGTCAAGAAGAAGCCGATTGTTAACACTTCAGAAGGATCAATAGAAATCCATGGAGACGCCAACTTGCTTTGACAAAAAACATACGTGCTTACACTATCAGCAAAAAAACTTTCTTTTGCAGAGATTAATTTTAACAAACGTTCATTTCCACTTCACATAAATAATTTCTACAGTCGAGTGAAAATTTAAAGATGTTTATAAAATTACCCTCAGCACAGCAGATTTACATCAAAACAAAGCAACCGGGCATACCGATCATTCCACAAACTTGTCTGCAAGTCAGCAGCTCTTGGGCTGGAAGAGAGAGATATTTATAGACCACACCATCCACTTCCCAGAATCGACCAATCCTCATTCCCAGAAATTGGGAATCGATTCCACGCTTCACTAATAAGTTACGATTGCCCCGGTGCCATTACCGATGTCAGATCCATACGGCCGGCCCTCCTCACTCTCCGACTCGGAGGCCTCCTCCTGCTGCTGCCGTTGGAGACGGGGCAGCAGCTCGGACACGACACGAGCCATCAGCTCCTGCTCCACCCTAAACCCCAACAGACACACGAGGGGCGACCGAGATGGGGCACGAGGGTGGGAGGACGTGGTCCCGCACAAAAAAAAAAACGCAGGTGTGACCTTGGGCTGCGTCGCTTCGTGCCGGGCCGTAAACATCCCCGTGCTCACGTGGGTTTCTCCGACGCCACTTCAAGGCAACGGGTGAACAGAGTGCTCCAGTAAGCCACGCAGGACTAAAACCGTCACTCCTTCTGTTTCCATAACAGAGGCGTTCGACCATGACCCTGTCCCTACACGATGCAGGTTCATGTGTACAGTGGGCAGCAGATAAATATGGCCAAACAGAAAAATGCCACGCGGTCAATGCGCCCGCCGTAAAAACCAGGAAGTATCTGAAACCGCCCCTTTTACATCTACGGAAAGTTACTAAAGCTGTAAAGTAAATGTGAGAGACCACTGTGACACCGTTGAAAGAAGCACGCGGTCGTTCGTGAGCATCACAGTCCAAATCATTTTACATTTATCCGCAAATAAAACAGGAAAACACAATGTCTCTCTGTAACTACTTTCATCGGGGTGCCTTTTGCAAAGGACAGCATTAATCTCTAAGGGTCTTGGTTTACTAAAGGTCACAGAATGGAACTTTGGTGAACAGCACCGCGTGAAGAATTGCAGCAGACTGCCGGTGACGGCCACAAGGGGTGTCGAGGCTGCGCCACAGACAGGAAGGGCCCCACTGTACCATATGAGCAGCTGGCCCTGTGTTGGGTCCCGCTGACGCAGCTTCAACTCAACGTCCACCCGCGGGGCCACAGGATCCGGGGCCCTGTACGGGAAGCTGGGGGACCCCGTGGAATCCAAATCGGACTCGGCGTAGCCATTCAGTTCAATGATTGGGCCGTCAGAGAACTCCTCCTCTGCCTCAATTCCCTAGAATGATACAAATGAAGAATAACATTTTTTTTTACTCACCGAATTAATTATTATTACCGTTAATATTTTTCCCCACATGCAAAGTAATTGAAATGCGTGCAAGCGATGTTGATGTAAAAGCAGACATCGGTCATATTTCACAGTGTTGCCCTACAGGAAAACTTGCCACTCAATACAGTACAATAGTCTTCTCACCATGCCCTGGCCCTATAACTCAAATGTTCTCGGAAATTGAATATTAAGCGTGGCATTTATTACATTAAAACACCATGGTGATTCATTTCTTAAAATAACAAGGTTTCAAAATTAGTTTGACATAGAAAATACTGCCACGTATATCCCTCATTGTGCTGCTTTGCGCTATTGACAATGTGAATCACGTTGACGCCAGATGCCCATAGACGAGTCATGAAGGGAGAAGCACTGCCCGCAGAGGGTTCGCTGAACGTTCAAGGCACATCTGCATTCCATCGCTATCGGGTATCGGTCTTCTCTCACCCACGGAGGGGGGGGGGGGGAACCCTTTAAAAATGTCAATGGTTTTAACGACATTTCAAAACTTTATTTCAGTTGCTCTATTTTCCCTTTTGGATGTACAGAATGCATCGTTGTACGAGCGGGCAATGGCAGGAGCCCCTGTGGAGGCTTTGGGAAAGGTGAGCTTGAGAGGAGTTCGCATCCAAAACACCGTCGAGCCATTGGGCTTCCACCGATCCCGCTAACCTGGAATACCAATGAAGCCGAAACAAAACACCCCCTCTTCTTTGTGCCCGAGAGCCACAGTTTGGCATCAATCGCCTGCTCCGACTAGTCTCGAGGGAGGCCCAGGGCAGGGGCAGGAGGTGGCGGCGGCGGCAGGATGGTGGTGGTGGTGCCGGCAGCCGGGGGGGGGGGGGGGAATGGCATCGGTGGGAGGAAAAAAAAACAACAACCCGCTTTGGTGAGGCTTGTCCCATGAAACCGCAGAAAATGGAATTCGGAAAAAATAAAGAGGCTTTCATTTTTTTTGTTTCTGGCAGAGGGAATTGGCTCTGAATGGTGGGTTGTTTGCCACCCCGAAGTTGAATCGCACTCTCATTCAAAGACTACCAAAAATGTACGTGGGTGTCTAGACGTCTGGCTGCGTATTCGAGGAGGCTGAGATTATACTTAAGCACACAAGGGTAACACATTTTTTGGGCGTAATAGAAAGCATTAGCTAGATGATACAAAGCTGTTCCAAGGCGTGCGTTGGGAAATGTAAAAAAGTGCCAATTTCCTCAAATTCTCATTGCAACAGAACTTTTAAACAAAAATGTTTAGCCAACGTGACCTCATTTGCAAAGCAAATCACAACAAAATCGCACAATCAATGGCCTTTGAAAAAAAACGAAACTATGTAAAATATTAATTCAAGTAATTTTCATTTTTAAAAATGTACGTTTTGAAGTTGAAATGAAATTAATTTGTGTCCATTCATAACGGTGCTGCATGAAAAAGCGGGCGAAATATCTTCTAGAGGTAGGCTCTCTGAAGCTCGCTCTACTGGAGCCTCTCCTGCGTGAGCGCAAACTTACAGACCTGGGGCAGGTCTGTGACGTTGATGAAGCTTGTCCCAGGAAAGCCATCCTCCCTCTCGCTCAGATCTGGAGGCTGCCAGAGGCATAAGAGTTCACAGGCACGGGCACAAAAATAAAACGTAAACTACTGTAGCGGCAAGGAAGGCAAAATAAACACGATGCCCTGTGCAATCCATCAGACCGTGCCACTTCATGTGTGGGAGAACGATACAGCTTGTGCCATGAAAGAACGCTCGAATTTGGAGCTGCAAAAGCAACGCATTTTGTTTGTTTGAATGAAATAACCACAGAGGCTCCAAACACACGTGCAGTCGAGGCGCCCTGCAGGCCCTGCGCCGCGTGCCCCAGTTCACCACTGCCGCGTCAGGCGGTCGGGGCCTGGTTCGATTCGGCCGCCTCGGAGGCACAGAGGACTCGGTACCTGTGGGGCTCCCTCTGCCGTGGGGAGCGTCCGTGCTGGAGGGCCTGGGAACGTGTCCCTCTGAGCCGGACTGCTGCTACTGCTGCTGCTGACCACGCTCTCAATGTCCACGTTTGGCAAAACCTGGGAATAGAGGAGCACAAAGCGTTTCTCTATGGCTCCTGCGCAAGGACACTTTCACACGCTACTGCAGCTACTCCTGCAATGTTTGGGATAGCATTCACTGTGTATGCGAGCATTTATGCGGCATTGCACGAATGTGAACTGTAACCTATGAGAGTAACACGGCCTGGGCTGCATAAAAAATTGCCGACAATGTCTGCTAACGAGTTTCTACTTCCACGCACTTTGCAAAATGTTCCATTAAAATAAGTTGCTCTCAAAAGCTGTGCAAACATGATGAATTTTACAAAAAAAAATCAACAATGTTACTGGAGGATTGCCCAGGAGTAAGGAAAAAAAATTTGACCAAAAAATATTGAGTGACCATTAGTTTCAATTCCAAACTATGGCGATTCTTTCAGCAGCGTGTTTTTTTATGGGTCTACAGATGGTGTTTTTGGTCTTCATTCAGAGGGCGGTAATCACAAACGCCTTACTCTGAAACAAAACGAAATGGAAAAATAAACAGTCGGCCTTTCTTTATACGGCACAGTTTTTGTTGTTGTGTTTTCATTATTCAAAACAACATGGGGTCTCTATCACCATCTCCAAATGAAAAAAAATGTTTGCAGCTGCAAACATAAAAACGCCGAACAATATTTCATTAAAAGGAATTGGCCTTGTAATTCTAAACGTGTTTTGGCAGCTTGCTGTAGCGCACACGGCAGGGAGCCCACCCTCTCCCACTCGCGCACCTGCACTGACAGCACCGGGGGCTCTCTCTTCTCCGACCTCATCTCCACGACGGCCACGTTGGGCCTCACGCCCACGGCGCCGCCGCCGCCGCCGCCACGCCGCTTGCGCGGGGAGGGTGGCACCGAGGTCGTCACGGTGACCGGCCGCGGAGGGCCCGCGATGGTGACGGCAAACGGCTGCGGGACAGGCCCGTCTTTCCTCGGTGCTCCTGGTTGGGGTGAAATAACAACAACAACAACAATTTATTCACTGATTTTTCTTTTTAAACCCACACAAAGCGTAGGGTCGGGTGATGCTTCTGACGAGTAACGAGAACGAACGCTGCTGGCTGCTTCCCGTTGATCAGGCTCCTAATGAGATCATTTGAATTCCTTGCAGCTACGGATTGTAACCTCTTTGCATCCTTTATTCCAGGAGCATGCTGATGATACGTTCCTGTTTTTCTTTTCATACAAAATCCTATTAGCCATGACGGAGCATTCTTCCGTTAATATTTCATGACTGAAACCATGCGATGTTGTATTGAAATTATTTTTAATGCACCTCGGTAAAGACAAACAAGTGAAATGTAATTGTTCTGTGTGACACTGCGTCAATATCTAAAAAGTGTTACCCACTTTGTCTACCTGCATTCTGGAAAATAAATAGTCTTGGAGAAAGTAACTCTGACGTTGCATCGGGATATTTGAAACAAATTTTCTAAAGATTTTTTATTTGCCTAACAAAAATATATAACAATGCAATGTGTTGCATATGCCAAATTGTTTTGTGTCTGAGAAATGCACTGCATAACCGTGGAGAATGTTTCATATTTTACTTATTGAAGCGAACAGCGCAGAGCCATATAACTCTGACTATTGCAGGTGGCAAAAATATTTGAGAACAAGACACTCCAAAAAAGGTGACACTAGCATCTCAGCAACCTCATTTCGAAGACGCCTCTTCATATTCCATACATAACAAAATAAGTCCACCACTGTAAGGGATCGCTATATTGAAAAACAGAGTAATAAGTGTGAGTCTGCGTCTGTTTTTAATATCCTGTTCTCAAAACCTTTCAACTACCCCCAGCGTGTATGTGTGTGTGTATGTAAATTAATTAAAAAGACAGATAACAGCGGCGGCGTGCGGAGGCAGGTGTGTTTACGAGGTGTTTCCAGGGCCAAGCTTTTGCAAAGGACAAAGCCTCCGAGACGGGAGAGTGGGCGGTTGGAGCATGAGTGGCTGGCGCGAGAGTGGGCGAACAGGAGGGAGGTGGGCGTTGTGGCGCAGGGGATGGGGTTGATCCGCGATGGCCGCGAGAGTGCTATTGGAAGAGCGTGGGCGGGCGCAGATCCGTGGCATTTCAGCCTCAAGATGAGCGAGGCACCGTTGCCCCGGCGACAGAGCCTGTTGCCGGGGAAACCGGCAGCGTGACCTGAGATAATGAAGAGCTTTCTGATGGCTGGCTGCACGTCTGCCCTCCCTCCAGCCTGCTCGCCGCCCGCCTCCCCGCCCGCCCGTCCACCCGCCCGCCCGCCTTCCTGTGCTGGGGCCCAAAAAGAACCATGCCGCCTTGCTTAATGCAGGCTCCCGACAGCCAGCAGCCGGTAGAGACAGATTACCAGCTAAATATGGAACGCCCAGCACACCACCCTCATACCCAATCCCTATCTTGTCCCCAAGCAATACAGAGAAGACGGGCAAAGCGGATAGAGAAGGAAAAAAACACTAAAGAGACCGAAAGGGGCTTTATCTGAAGACGGACTCGGAAAAAAACACGTGGATGGCCAGATCAACAAATTAGTAAAAAAAACAATGCAAAACATGGCAGTGGAATGAGCATTACTTATTCCGGTTAATTAGAAGTGGCCTAGCACGTCAAAACACTAAGGAGCTTTTAAAGGGGTCATGAAAATAAAAAAAAGCGTAAAAAGATCTTGGAGAAAATGATAACTTATTGCTAAAGAGACAACAACCATCGAGTGAAATACATGCTACAACACGTGCCGGAGCGCTAAATCTTAAGATTTTTTTTTTTCAAATATTAAGCAACAAAATTAGTCGGTAGAAAGCCATGAACTCCTTCAAAAGGAGCTTCGTGCACTTGCAGGATTGTGCAGCAGTCAACAAGGGCTGGGAGCTGTTGTGAGCAAGCGAGCGAGTGAGCGTGCGTGCTTGTCCGTGTATGTATGTGTGTGCGTGTGTGGATGGGGAGCGGTTGTGCAACGGTTAGCGCACGGCGCTACGAACCCAGTGACCCGAGATTGATTCCGGGCTCATGGCCAACACTAATGACGATTTTCTGAATCGGTGCTGGACCTCCCCTCGGCCAATTCAATCTCAAATGAGTACCTGGTGCGGTGTGTACACATCGTCACTGGAGAAACAAAGGCGGCCGGGCGTGGTGCTGCCCACCCACCCCCTCACGTGCCGTGTCGGCCTTCATAAGTGCTCGCTAACAGCACTTGCCCCAAGAGACTGCCGAACCTATATGGGGGATCTTTGTCTTTGTGTGCGTGCGTGTGCTGTAAGCTCACGTCTGCCATGCAGGCGTGAATTGAGGGGCCTGTGTGGCCGGCGCATCAGTATTCAGGGATTCGCACACAGCCAAGGTGCAAGCCTCTCCCATTTTCTTGCACCGCGGGTGACTTCGCAGTGCGTGCCTGACCTTTACATTGCTTGGAAGCCGTGGCTGATTAAATGCTCGAGGAGAGCAGTGCGGCGTTTTGATACTCACCTCAAAAGCCCACCTTAAGAACATAAACCTCCAAGTAGCACACACTGTACAAGTCCAAAAAAAAACCTTGCCGGTCATTTACTGAGCAGCAAAAGCTAAAAAAAAGGGAAAAATTCAGGAACGTTCGTAAACGGAACAAACATATGCCGGACCTCGTGACGACATCTTCAAACGCGCTGAAATCAAGACGATGCTAGAATGTAAATCTCATCTCTCCAGAGCAGGGTGCCCCCCTTGTGCGAGTATATGCACTATATGTACACGTGCTTTAATTTGCACAACACGACCACGTGTAGCTCAGTTGGTGTCTCAATAATGAGGTCATGAGTTCAAATCCTAGTCTGGGTTTTCAGCCCCACCGCCACCGCTCTGGAGGTCATTAAACGTGGTTCCCACCATAGAAAGCTGGAGCATCCATGACGAGCTCAGCACTGCTAAAGAAGACGCACACCCCCGGATGGTCATTTTCAGCATAAACAGGCTTATAGATTTCAGTTTATTTTTTTACAATATTATTATTTCACGTGTGCCACAGCTTCCTGCCATAACGTGAGCTGTTCTAAAAATATAAGTGTTCTTGGATTATTGCGCAAGGGATATGCTGATTACTAAGCAACACAATGGGGTAATTACATTTGCTCAGGAAAGAAAACACACAGCGGTCACCAAATCGCGCACACATTCGCCACAACCGCGCCAATTAGAGAAACCACCTGCGATGAAGAGACCAAAAAGAAACTCAGAGGACATTCAATAAAAGATAGCATGTACGCTCATGGAGATAAATACGTACACGTAGTGAGCACAAAACTTGGCGTGAACATAACGGCTCTATATTTTCAAATACCATTCAATGAAGTCACCGATACTCGTATTCTGTATCATTGCCCTATACATAAAGATGAGCCTCACAAGCTATTGCGGCGTCTCATTCTCGAAACATTTCGCTCGCATCTCTTTGCACACCGCGTTTGCATTCAAATGTTTGCATCTGCGTGCGGCGCATTCTCAAACACAACGGGGCCCAGCTGCTTGGGGGGCTGTCTGCGAAATGTCAAAAGTTTTGAAAGATTTGTCCGCGCAACGTCATTTTCATTAATATTAACGCACACCTGCCGAGATAACTCTATTCTGCTTGGAGAGAGCACTCTGGCCAGACGAGCACTCGCGCCCGCCCCGGCACATCCCCCGTACGTGCGCGTGCATTCGTTACTCTCGTTGTACACGTGGAGGTGAGCGCGGCAAGACACGTTCACGTTGGTGTAATCCTCGAGGAGATGGCAGAAGTGGGCAGCGCCGCCAGCCGTTCGCTCACGGGTCCAGCGCGACGTCGATAAACTTTGCGCGTCAGCAACCAGGGTTCTCCTCGCTCAGAAGCCGGAAAACTTTGCGCCCCGGGTATTTGTTTTGACGCAGAGTCAACATTACGAGCCCCCCCCCCCCGCCGCCTCCTCTTGGGTACACAGGGCCCTTTGAAATAGTGGGGAATTTTGCCCGGACTTGAACTTCGCATCGCTGTGGCAGACACACGGGGCGGTCGTCACTGTGCCACCACTTGTCCTTTCACCCTTGGCCTCTGGGAAACGACTAAATGGCATTTGCTCCGGACAAATGTGTTTACCAGCCACATAATCCGCAGGCTAAATTTTTGCATAAGAGGCATTTTGTCTGAGAGGGAATCTAGACCCAGCGGGCATTTCGGACGAAGTAAGCTGGTAATTGTGCAATTTTTGGTAATTCCAGAATTTGCCCGATGACACCAGGCCCACAACGGCCCACTATCACGAACAATTTGACAAATGTCCACATCCAAAAAAATTACCAGAATGTCAACATAATCGTGTAAGGCTTCCTACATCACATTTACAAAAGCGGGGCAAAATTAGATATGAAATTAGCAAAAACAGAATACCAGACACAGACGCGCTGACCTTTTGTACTACCAGCCACCCCGATGTATTCAATAAGCTATGATAAAACCACGCACAGGCCGGCACTACACCAGCAACTTAATATTTATCAACTCCCCGGGAGGTCGCTCCTTTTCTGTTACGGCCCCTGAGGGTCTGAAATTCTGTCCCTCGGGACCTTAAGAACGATGATCATGCCTTGGCTGTGCTTAAGTCTGGTCTGAAGACTCGCTCGTCTTCCTGTGCGTTCAAATGAGTCCTCACGCCATGATGTGTCCAATTATGCTGTTGATTTTACCATTACTGTAGTTTAGTCTTAAGAGAAGCTTGTGAAGCGTCTTGAGTTGTGGTCGCATTTAGATGCTATATAAGCCGACATTGTTATTTGAGCAATGAGCCAGACGTGGTGGCACATGCTCGTAACCCAGCACTTTGGAGGCAACGGTTGGTGGATCGCACTTACTTAGAAAACTTCCGAAATGGGTGGGACTGCTAGGTGGCCAGGAGATGGCGGTACAGCAAGTGGGCCCAGGAACCGATCTGTGCGGAGCTTTGAGTGCTATCCCCTCGTATGCACGGGTTTTCTCTAAGTAGTCCAACTTCATCCCGCACACTAAACACTTATTATTGGAATGGCTGAAAAATTTGAAAGGCTGAGGACTCAGTGAGGCATTGCTGAATAACAATTAAAAAAGGTTTTAATATCTATAATAGTTCTGCTTGTTGCTGGCCACCCGGCATGTTGGGCCTTTGAGCCTGCCAGCAACAACCGTGACGACAACGAAATCAATATCTGTGTGACGCTAAGAAAGAAAGTCAGTGCGCAACAATCCTCAAAAAACCACGGTCACCAAAAAAACGCGTCTGCAACGCCACAAGAAGTACCCTCACCCAGGGGGATGGCCATGGGAATGAGGTGTCCCTCCGTGGGCCCTGTGATGCCCGAGGAAGGACGAAGCGCTCTGCTCGGGCTGAAGAGGTACTGGGTAGGCCCGGAGGGCACGGTGCCCGGTGGGCTTGTCTGAGTGCGTGCAGACCGTATCTTCGTACCTGTGGGGTTTAAAAGATGGAAAGAAACAACCTTACCACACTGGGCATATTCTACAGAGAATTGGAAACATATTCAAGTTGAATTACTAAGATTTTTTATTTTGCATGTAAGTGCCTTACAGTTACCTCCAAAATTATAAGCAATTAAAATGTGTGATTTTCAGTAACTGTACATTAGTTTCCTGTGAATATTGTAATTATCACAAATTATTTACATTATAAGCAATAATTTCAACTACATTGCAAAGTAAATCAATGATGTGGTGTGGAGTAAAGGCTTATTTGTGCAAATTTTTAATAATAAGTTACAATTCCTTATTTTAGCATTCAATTATAATTTTTTAAACGTCTAAACACAACATTCACATGCAATAGCTGCATTCAGAAGTTGACCAAGCTGATTTGCTGAACTTTCAGCAGGTCCCACCTGGTGCCACACACGGCGTTGCACAGCACAAACAAAAATCACCAACAAATCAACCGACCTGGGCGAGCTCCACAGAGCGGCGAGCAGAGAACTCCAATCAAAACCTCATCAACGTGCGCCCACAAGCACAGGCGCAGAAAGTGCGAGCCTGCGAGCAGCAGCACGTGGCTCCCGCACAGCTCGCAAGCTCGGCCGCTCGCGGCTGAGCTTGCGCGCTGGAGCGCGCGGCTTCTGCGCGACCGGAAAAACTCGACCGTGCGCACACGCAGGCACCCGCACCTCTGACAGTCTCCACGACGCGGGGGGCGGCACGCCGGGCCCTGACGGGCGACGGGGACGCGAGGCGCAGGTACGGCGCGCGCTTGGCCGTCGACCGCCGCGGCTGCTGCTCCAGGCCGCGGCCGTACACGTGGACCGCCAGGGCTTCCTGCACACGCACGGCGGGGCGCACGTGCACCCGGCCACGTCAGGCGGTGCCCATCGACACCCCTGCCTTGACACCTAGGTGTCCATGGCAGGCACTTATCTAGCCTGCCTGATGACCCACAAGAGCAACTCGTGATTGTCGACGCCATCCTGGAAGCCGAGGGACAGGACAGAGGAAGAGGGAAAGAGCTGGCCTGGTCCCAAAGTACCCAGCCTGGGACCTGCAACTCGAACACAGGGGGGCATTCTTCCCAATCCAACACGAGCAAGACATTCTTGGTACACCAGCACCATACTTCTAAATACCATGCGCCGTTTCCCGAAACAATATATAATTAGACACAAGGATGAACGTGCATTTATTAATTCAAACGCCTTATCACTTACGTTCATTGGACTTCATCGAAGATAATTTTGGCGGCAACACGCGTGGCCCACAATTTACAGACCCCGACCCTATCGCACAATCGCAGGCCAGGCATATTTTATCGTGAAACCAATCTCTTCTGATGGCGTGAGATTAGGATTTTCGATTTCCGTTGCCTCTCGCCGCACCGCGCACGAAATCCCCCTGTAAATCTCACGGCGAGCCAGGCCCACCGGGGCTACCACCAACGGCCGACTCATTAACGCCGCGGGTAGATTAGCCCGATTCTTATCTACGAAAATTGGAAAGCAATCTAGACAACATCTGTCGGAGCGAGATTATAAGTGTTCTCTTGCTGTGTACCAGTGTTTTGAGAGGAATGCACCTGTGGATCGTGCAAACTTATTTAATTATTTACGTGCCCGCTTTTTTTTTACTTAACCGCTTACATTTGTTGTGAAAAGGATATTTTTTTTCTCTTAATCTGCCTTGTTGTGCAATACAACCGTCGAATGCATAGCTGCTCGTTAAAGTTGATACAACGGAGAGATACACACCAGAATTAATGTCATAGTGAAAGGAAAGAATATCGAAGCTGGCATGTCAGTAATATCAATAAATACAAGGGTACAGGTACATTGTCACATAAACAATGCCAACAGCAAAAACAACGTTTGGTATATTTGCAATCTGCAGAATGCACAACACATGCAACACTAATCGGCTGCATGCAGGTTAGACAGAAACACACAATAGGCACAAAATAACAGCCCTCACCACCAATAACGGCCATTAAACAACGGGGTTGACAACGCGAAAACAACCTCCACGACCTATCAGCTACTCCAGCCAGCGATCCGCTTCACTTCCCCCGCGACGGGGCCGATACGGGGGGGGGAGACCAGGTCAGCCTTGTCATGAAGCGAAACCGTTCCGTCCTTACCGTGGACTCCTGACTCCTCTTCGTCTTAGGCCTAAGCTGGCCACCCGGCACGGAAGTCTTGGCCGGCCCGGCAGTTTTCGCGGGGGCGCGGCGCAGGGGCTGCTCCTGGGCTTGAGCTTTTGGGGGCCTCGCCTGGGACCGCTGCTCACCGCGTCGCGAGCCCCTCTCAACAGACGGGGCCTCGGCAGCGCTCTTGACCGGTCGCTTAGACTCCGTCTCAATTTCCTCCTGCGATGGGAAGATGAGCAGTCACGAATGATGCGTGATGATGAAGGGTAAAAAAAGCCTCTGAATGCGGTGTGTTAGTTTAGAGAGAGAAAAAATAAACAGTCCCAGTAGGCTAAAGCAGAAAAGTACATTGGTGCCTGCGTTCTCTTATAAGCACGTTCTTCTTGAAAATTATTTAAAATTACATCTCACTGCAAGTAATAAAATGTTAAATGCCGCTGGTGTTTTTTATATTAACCCACAGGACAACTGACAGCCTGTTGCACAGGCCACAAGCAAATCAGCTGGTCAAAAGATTGGAATGAGGTGGAAATCCTTTCTTCCGTCAACATAGAAACGCCCAGGGTCTCACCATAGCGCAGGTGGCAGTTAATGGATTCCAGTTAAAGCTGAGAAATTTAATCCCAGCTCCCCTCCCGGGACGAAAAAATGGCAGTCGAGAGTTAATGCACCGCTGATGGGAAACAAGGGTTGCAAGATAGATGGAGACAGACCAAGGGAAATGAATAAACAAAAAAAGCAAGAGAACAAAAATGAATTGCCGTGGTCTGCGCTCAGCCACATTAAAGTGTTGCGTGTGATTCTTAAATCGCCGAGTGCCTGAACGGCGCTGGGTGAACTATTCCTGCCGGAGTGGCTGCATGTGTATTTGTTTCCTCGCTCACGTGTTCACCCGCAGTAACACCTGCGCTGGAAATGCAATTTGGCCTTCTTATTGCAACCCGTCTCCGTGGGCCCGTCTTTCACTGTTTGATCGATATGCTAATCCGAGCTTCAGGGGAAAAAAAGCAACAAAAAACCGGCCACTCTAGTCAACTTGGGCAGACTTTGGTGACTTAAATCTCTGAAACCAGTCGGTGCCCGCTGGCCACTTAAAATTATCGGCAATGGTGGCGATAGCCAGCCGTGCTGCGCTCTGCCGTACTGCCCGGCGTAAATCTTACCAAGGCCAACAACGAGCTCACCTCAATCTCCTTGCTCATAACTGAGATCCATTCGTCCACTGTTCTTCTTATCCTCAACTTTTCTTCAGCTCCACTTTAACACAAAGACAAATACAAACCCCACATTATAGCCGTTGCCATGCTCAAAATAGACCATATAGAGATTGGTGAAAATAATTCACTCATACCGAATTAAAACATATTAATGACATTTCAAATATATATATATTTTTAAACACATGCATGTGTCAAATGCTCATCAATAAACATGAAATGACATTATTTAATTTATACATTCCATTAATAATACATAGCCTAATGCTCAAGAGATGCAGGTACATACGAAATGTGTACCTCAGTGAACTTTTTTTCAAAAACGTGGCCTAGGGCACTCTGCTTATTGATTTTTCAAACTGTGATTTATTATTGACCACTTTGTACAGAGCCTTATTTAAAAACAAGCCACCACTGCCGCATGTGAGACTAATCTCCAAAGAGCTCAACAACATGGAGTGCTTACAAAATATATGCCACAGCACACAGTGCCGCCCATAAATGGAGATGGATCGTGCAAAGGCAAAGAACCCCCCTCCCCCCCGTATAGCCTAACAGACTGTTGGGGCAAGTGCCGTTAGCGAGTAGCAGCACCGGTTCAGATAATCGTCACCGGTGTTGGTGGCCGTGAGCAGGAATCAAAGCAGTGCTGAGCCCGGTTAGTATATGGTGACATGGGTGGCCACCGGGAATTCCCAGGTGTTGCGAGGGCGGAGATGCGAGATGGCCGGAAGATGTCAGTGCGAGGTGTCACCCCCTCATAGGTCCATGTTTCTCCGAGTTCTACGGTTTTCTTACCAAGTGCCAAATACTACTAATTCGTCGTGTTGGCCACACATCTCAATGCAGGAGTGTCACGAAAAAGAGCCTTGAAACTTAGTGAGGCTTTCCTCAGCAAATAATTGGCATTTATTATATAAAGGGTGCTTCAAAAAAATGTGAACACTTCTTAGAATTTGCAACAACACAACAAATGTGCTGCCTCCGGGGCTCTGAAGACCACTTGGAGAAGATTCCAGGCACGTGTTGACAATGATGGCGAACAAGTGGAGACTCTTTGACTTTTTGAAGCTATTGACATTACATTTGTTATCATGTCACAGTGTATTATCCGTTTTTTTTTTCCATTAAAACGATAGTCCCCTAGAAGTGTTAACATTTTTTATGAAGCATCCTGTATATACACATATCCAACCTTACTTAGAATTCCATATAAAATACTTTAAGTATTAATAATACTTACGTTTTACAAAACTACTGTTGGAAAATATAAAATTGTAAGTTACATACAATTCCCATCCTGAAAACCAATATTCCAAGAGTGTTGTCCCTTGTTAAATTTCCTGTATCCTACACTCAACTAACACTTGCCAGAAGCTTTCCTCCAGTCCGTAAATTCATGGCGATTACTCGAAAGGCTCCAGGGCTCAGCATTAGGCCTTCACGTGGGATTAAAGCCACGCCACAAGCTGTCACTTCCACCTCGACAGGTAGACAAGCACAACTCTGTAAGCAAGCCTTTAAGCATTCATGAGGCTTGAATTAATAGTGGCCAAAGCAGTCACAGCCACATCTTGAAGTTTTCATTTCTTATTTACAAATTTGAAGATTTGCACACGACACTGCTGGCCAGGGCGAGGGGCGCCGGGAACCAACCATGACTTCATAACCATATTCTTGCTTTAATAATTTAGGAAATTTGAATAATTTAACTGGCCCGGAGGAGGGCGGCTCAAAAGCGAGCATCGGGTGTCTCGCCTCTATCTGTGGTGGCCGTGGTGTCGGCACGAGTCTCCCCGCCGCCTCTTGGCTCAATCGACGGCAAAATAAGACCTTTACATCAAACCAGGCCTGCTGCCGCTGCCATTCACCATTATGTACCAACCTTGTATCCCTTTTCACTCCTTCAATCAGCTGTGTGCTAGTTTCCTTTTTTCATTAGTCCGCCACAGATTATTTCACGCTTTTTTTTTCGCCCCGAGATGGGCCGTATTGTACGCGAGGTGATTAATATGATCAGTGTGAACCTGTACAACGCCTGATTTAAGTACGTACGTATGTCTGCACGCCCGTGACTAAACAGCAACTCAATAAATGATTGAATGGGTAAATAAATACGTATTCTTAATCAACACCTTTCCCTGGCATGATGTAACCGGTAAAATATTTAATGAGTGTTTTATCATCCCACTGCTAAATATAAAATATAAATTAGTCACATTCTTTATTTGTCAATGAGGTGTATTGAATACTGCATCACATGCGGGTTGAAGCTTTATTTTGGATAACGTATAAACTTGTTTAAATACAACGGGGGGTATAAAATGTGAATATATTACCGCGAGTCCAAAGGGAAATATGTGATCAGGGCAGCGGCGGGCGTTTGGCCGCCATGTTTGTCGCATCGTCCGTAGAGACGCGCACGAGGCAGGCAGCTGCAAACGGCCTCTCGAGGATATTCCAACCGGCAAGAGTGAAATCTTTTCATAGTCCCCCGCACACCAAGATCTTGATGCCTTTGATAGGGTACGGCTTTCCAACTCCTAAGTCTTATCTGTAGGAAACATCCCACCTTGGTCCGAAGCCACAGAGTGACCCCCTTCCTCAAATCTCCCACCGTTTGTCAACTGCCACTCTCAGGGCCTCTTGTTCCATCAGATTTTCTGATGATGGAGCTGTTTAAGAAATAGCTGCGCTCGTGAGTGGATGTGTGCGTGCAGCGTGCACGATAAAAAAACAGAAACCAAACATTGTTTCATTCGCTTTAAACTAATTATTTGCTGCTGCTGCGTTGGCAGTGGTGCGCGAGGACAATCGACATAAAAAAAACTCAACACATTCCTCAATAACACTCTGGTCTTAAAAGAAAAAAATATATGATATGTGGCGTTTTGGGAAATGGCCCTTCTTCCTTGTACATAAATAATATTAATTTGATAATTAAGTCACACTTACACGCAAAGAAGGAACACTGGGCAACACGTCACATAGAATACATTTTGTCTTCGAAGGCTAAAGTGTTATTGACAAATGTGTTAAGTTTTAATGTTGATTGTTTCTCTCGTGTAAGTCGCACCAATGTCAGGCCTGCAATCAACATACACGTCGCTCACAGAGGACGACCCCTCGCTTACAACATTATTTTGGTCGACTCTTCCACTCTGGATGGGAAAAGGAAGAGGTGACAGTATTCACATTTTACCTCACATAGTGCTCTCATACATCACAAATGCATGTTTACAGACAGGGTATCGGCGGATGATGAGAATCGCTGTGAGTCTCTGGCGTCTCAATGTGGGCAGGTTGCTGGGTTCTTCTGGATTCTAAGGGTCTGGGCAGTTCTGCCACTGTTGAGCTCCGACATCGTTACGAGAAGCCGACTTCTCACCCACGCATCATTTTCGCCGACGGAACTTTGTGCATCAATTTCCACTTTGCGCTCTATCAGTCGCCGGCGACATGGATAAAAAAAAACTATTATAGCTGAATGGAAAGAAATTGGAATAACTTTTTTCCTTCTAATTTCATACAAGGCAATGAAATACACAGCACATTCTGACATCTAATAGGACATATTGCACGAGACATTAATTAGAAAACGCGCAAGGCGTCCCGGCTTAGCCACGCTTACGCAGCTGCTACCGTTCCGGGGTCTTTTAAGGACCTTGCCACGTCTGACACATCAATGAACAAGAAGTGCACCGTCAGTGCCCCTTTGCTAACGTTGCGCAGATCGCCCGGGCGGGTGACCGGCTCCAACGAGCGCCAGCCAACGGCCGCTGTGGAGGCAAGGGAGATAAATTTAACGGACGGGCCAAAGAAAGAGACACGCCACACGCTGATTAAATTCCACCCTTCCGAACGCCGGCGGACAACGGAGTAACATTCAGGGAAATGAAAGTGTCCGTCATTTTTATCTGCGCCTGGTCGCAGGCGAACAAAAACTGTACGGGCACACTGCTGAACGGTGCACAATGTGTATCGGTTTTAAACGCGCCAGTCGCACTGATGCCTCCGACTTACTGAAACGTAGATTACCGAAGTGAATAGGCTGGCTATTGGCAGTGCAGACTAAGCCACGGCTGATGCGTAGCCAGGTGTGAACGCATCTTGCGGCATAAAACATCTATGAAAACCTATATTGGGAATACATGGTAAAAACAATAGGGTTTTTTTTTAATTGTATACGTGTGTTCCCAATAAAAATGTTAAAATTATTTTTGTAATGACACACAAATGCGAAAACTGTCACGAGGGCGGGTTAAATAAATAACAGCCTTGGAGGCAACGATGAAAATCCACGAAGTTCCCTCCACTGCGGGGATTAGAGTGAAATGATTTACAGAGCGGCGCTCGGCACACCTTCAATTTGCTTTCACGCGAACGAGGCGGCGGCGGCGGCGGCGGGAGCGAAAGGTCGGCGCCAAGTGCCCGCCACCCACCCCCCTCTCGTGATCCCAATTCCTGCCGAGTCGAGAGGCGTTCGCCCGAGCGTCGGCACAATCCGAGTGTGGGCCGAGCGACCTGCACAGCATCCCAACTCCACCCCTCGAGGAGCTGCCATCGTCCCGGCTAACCTCCTCCCGCCGCCGGCGCTGAGACGCTTGCAATTTTTTTTCTTCTATTAAACAAAAATCCTCGTAACAAAATAAACACGACAAACACAAGAAACTGCTGACCTGTGACCGACCAGCCAAAGATTTGATCACACTGTGCTTCACGCTGTACGCTGCACAATCAAGTTGGTGGACGCAATGCGTTTACTTTGCGATATCTTAAGACACGGTTGCTTTCCAGTTATTCATAATTAAAAATTGTGTTGCACATTCTCGTGCGTATCTGTGTACCTAGACGCTCAGAAGCTGAGGGGCTGCTTCAGCCATTAAAGGAGGACTACCTAACATTCTTTGACTGCAGGTTATAAGACATACGACGCAGTCTTTGTTTCACTTGGGTGTATGGACGTGAACACACAAGCACCTCGCATTGTATGCGTCAGTATCACGCCTTCCTCTGCTCATCCGTGAGATTGACAGGGCC